CGATGCTCTATGGAAGGGTGCAGACTATTACTCTGGAGGAGGTTCAATCTCTGATTAGAGCCAAAGAACTTCAAAGGAAGCATGACAGGGACAAGGAAGTCAGCGGAGACAGTCTTATTGTCAGAGGAAGATCAGACAAGAAAGATTCAAGAAATGGTCAGCACAGGTCAAGGTCAAGCAAGAATTGCGGGAATCAGTCATCAAGGGGATCTTTCAAGTGTTACCATTGTCACAAGGTGATTTCAAGAGAAACTGGCCAGACAGGAAGGATAAGTACCAAGAAGAGCCAGAAGAATCAGGAGAAGCAAGCGTAGCCTCTGATGACTATGATTCTGCTGAAGCCCTGGTGATCACAAAATTTGAATCCAGTAAGGAGTGGATCCTCGACTCAGGGTGTTCTTTCCACATGTGTCCTCACAAAGACTGGTTAGAGACACTGCAATAAGAAAATAATGGATTCGTTCTACTGGGAGACAATAAAACTCACAGGGGACAAGGTTGTTGGAAGTGGATCAATCAGGATAAGGATGTTTTATGGAGTTGAACGAGTACTGAAAAATGTCAGGTACGTACCAGAGCTCAAAAGAAATCTGATTTCTTTAGGTACACTGGAGTTAAGCGGATGCTCGTTCACGGCAGAGAATGGCTGCATCAGAGTAACCAAAGACCCTCGTGTCGTCATACAAGGAGTAAGGAAAAAAGGGTTGTACTCTCTTATCGGAAGAACCGTGATTGCTAAGTCCATGTACTGTTAAGTTCATGTACTGTTTGGACCTAGCAGACTCAATGCTGGGGGCCCCTCAGGGGCCAGGGGGAGGGAATCTTTACTTCGAAGTTTCTCAATTGAGAGTCAAGGTGGAGAATTGTTATTTTGACCCCTAATTATTGAACTAAGGTAAAAGGACACTTTTGTAATGTGGTATCGCTCACCTACCACATCTCATCTACCGCTCACCTACCTCCCACCCACCACTCTCTTGTTTCTATAAATAGAGAGAGTGTGAGGCTTAGGAGAGCAAAAGAAGAGATCTTAAGATACCACAAAGAGGAGAGAATAGCTAGAGAGCTAGAGAGGAGGAGAACATCTTGAGGCATTGTATCAAGGTGTCGCTTGAGAGGGAGGTCATAAAAAGAAGATGAGCGCTCATCTCTATGTATAAGCTATGTATTCTCCATTTATTTTGCCTTAGTGAACTATTTGATTGATTCCCTCCCGTGGACGTAGATCCAGTTAGATCGAAACTCGTAAACGATCTGTGTTTGTTTGTGTTCTTTGCGTCTCATTTCTATGTCAGGAAGTACATATTTCACAACAACACATTGGTAGAGGAAGAAACCTTGTGCCTTTTATTCTCTATCTTTTCCTTTGTTTTTTGATAATTTCTCTTTATCTATAAATAGAGGCAGATTAATTAAAGTCTAATTCATAGAGAAAATTATTGGGATTTAAGCTTGCGATTTGATCGATTCACAATAAAAATAACACTGTAGAAAAACATACCAATTCAAGAGATCTGAAATAATGAATTGAACAAAAACCAACAACAAGAAAATATAGAAATGACACAAATATTTAACATGGAAAAGTACAAGAACGAGAAAAAACCACGTAGCCACACCACATAAAAAAATTCACTGCGAATGGAGAATAAAGAAGGATTATACCACTTAGAGCCACTCTCTACAATACTGAAACTTACAACTATTCACGCTTCTTTCTCTCTTGATTTCACAAGAGAAAACACTCTCCGAAATTCACCCTTTCGACGTAGATGTTGCTCCGCTCCTGTTACCATAGAGAATACACCACGTGAGAGAGTATTAATCCTTTGCGAAACAAGGGCTTAATTCCTAACAACATACAAATTGCTTCTGTCGCCGTAATGCCGCTCCCGAGCATTGCGGATTGAATCACAAATTCTGTCAAAATGGGCGCCTGGTGGCCACCATCTCTAGATCTAGGAGTGGGGGCACCCAAAGTGGGTGTCTGGGTGCTAATCCCCTCCTAATCCATGCACTTGGGAGCCCCTTGGGCTCATGGTCGCCACTATGATCCTGGCGCTTTGGTTCCCCTAAGCACCTAAGTGCCTGGGCTCTCCCTTATCTAGGGTTATTAACGAGTTGATTTCGTGCTGAGTTAGGGCTGAGTCGAAATCAACTCGAATGGATTGATTTTGGATCGAAATCGGCTCGTGGCTCGTTATGTTTGATTTCGAGCCAACTCAACTTGAAATTAAATCAAGCTCGATCTGAATCAAAATCAATGGCTCACATTTGAGTTATTTAGATCCAATCTAGCTTAAAATCGACTCGATTTTGCTGAAAATCGAAACAAGATGACTCAAATTGAGTTATTTGGATTCGTTTCAACTCAAAATCAGCTCATAGCTTGTTATATTCAATTTTATTTAGTATTATATATAAATTTAATAAATAAAAAAATTGCTTTGAGTTGATCTCGAATCGATCCGTGTATGACTTGAAATTGGCTCGAATCCAAAGTTTTGACTCATAGCGAGGCTTGCTTATTTTGATCTGAAGTTGATTCAAGCTAAAATTCAAATCAATT